TGTAATTGTGAGAATTTCGTTACGTTTCTTTTTCAAGATTGTAGGATTAATAGCAAAAGAAAATTTATTCATTTACTGTGTAGCAATTCTTTTTAACTCCGAATGTTTTTCGAAACTCGTTGGACACTTTCGCGAATTGTGAAAGATCCGAATAGAGGACGAGGAATGCGATTTGGGTCATGACCTACATTATGTACTCCTTCTCTACCTATGTCGTCCTTTCTCGTTTCTCTTCCTTTCTCCCGCTCTCTCTCTCTCTCTCTCTCTCTCTCCTTATCTCGATCTATCTGTCTCCGTTTGACTCTTCATTTATAATGTCTGTCCATGTTAACCTGACGTCATATGTCGTAGTGATCGCGTACGAATATCTAACATACGTTCCGAGCTTAACAACCGCCACACATACCAGAATGTAAATGATCATTAATTCGATTTATGACATTTATCTTTGGTCGTTATCAACTTGTAGCTGAATTAAATATCTTTTCGTAACATCTTGCCGAGATATGAAAATTCACGAGGTAATATGGCTTTAGAAACTTGAAGATCGTGCTATTACATTATTTGAATTATTATTATAGATACATACGTATATAAATGTGATTATTCCAGAAATGCGATATAGATTTTTCTCCTTACGGTCTGACAATGTTATACTTTTTATCTTCAGATTTTAATTTCGTTCAACACAGACGCGTAGCTGTGGAAAAAATTTCTACAGATAACATTTTGAACAGTTTAAACAATGAGACGAATTTTTCTTACAACACGTATTTACTGTGCAGAAAAGAATATCTTATTTCAATTTTTCAAAATATTTTTCTTTTCAAGAAAGCTTTAATGATTTGTATGACACTTTTATTACGTAAAACGACAATTCGTATCGTCCTGTGCATCAACTTGTCTTTCCAATTTTGAACGCTTTCAAGAAATAGCAAAATCGAAATAGCAAATCGATGCTACGTTACATGTTCGGAGAGAAAAATACATATGTACCACTCCGTGTGTTACACGCATCAAACTGATCTAGATAGAGATTGTTTTATCGCGAGAGGAATATTGCGAATACCGAGTATTGCCGGTACGTGGCATTCGTGGCAAATTGCGCTTTTCACGACAGTCAACGGACGTTTGTCATCTTCGCGGAAAATCAATTTCGGAGCGCAGAAATGAGTTTACCGTGCGAGGAGTACCTGAGAGGACGTTATCGTGTCGTTCTTGCGTGAGCGAAAGATACGGTGCCGCGAACCGGCGACACGACGGCACTGATATTTTATTCCGCTCTCTTATACATCGTCGTCTCTACGACATCGTATATCGTCTCGGAAATGGCGCCGTGAAAATCTCGAAATTGCTCACTTCCCTTCCTGCCTCTTCTACAGGGGCGCGCGTGCGACGGTCGCTTTAAAATTATAAAGCACCATAAGTAAAGTTTCTGCTTGGGCGGATGTTGACTCGGTTAACATTGCGTTACATTGCGGGACAAAAATGACGCGAGCGATGGTAACTCACGGACTATATTTCGACCTGCGGTGAATTCTGCGGTTAACGGTGCGTTTAACTCGACAGTCGACGATATCACGAGATCGCGCCCATTCATTGAGTTTTGTCTCAGTCATTGTGATAATATTACCATCATGTATTAGTGACATGTATACATGATAATTTCCCAGTCCTTTACTTTACTATACATATGATAAGTTATGTTATATTCGCGTCTGAGGTAATTTTCATCACTTTTATAAGTATATAAAAATTATTGAGTGACTCTTATATATAGCAAATTTTGATCACTTTACGCTACATTAGATTAGTGCATACTAAAAGCTACTATACATAAAGTTGGCGAAGTTAAATGTAAAAACACGTAAATGATTTTAAACGATAAGTATCCAATAATAATATCGTCACGTTACTTACTTGACTGAATATAAATACATATATTATATCATTATTCAAGTTGATTACATTATGCCTATTTAGATATCCTCACAGAAATCTTACACTAGCTGATTTAATATTGAAAGACTGTAAATAATTATTTAAAAGCACTGTTGTTCAATACTTTTTGTACACCGTACAAGTTATTAATTGCTGTCTTTCAATAATATATTGACTATTACAGTATTAAATTTCTATAAGAATATTTTAAATATAAATTTTAAATAAAAATTTTGTATAAAACCTTTAATGTGCGCTAATCTTGCAGTGTAGTGCGGTGATGGAATTCACCAATATACTTTTATATCTTTAAACAGATTTTAGATTATTTGCAAGATTGTGTATTTAAAAAAAAATGAAAGGATAGAGATCATTATTTAATTAGATGTTCTTAATAGTACTTCAAAGAAAAAAAATATGCAGGATACAAATATTACTATTGCAGAACCGGAAATAGGTGAATAAGAACTTTACTTATGTAAAGAGGTTGAAGGGCGCAAAAATGATAATATAAATTTCTATAAGTTTTAATTTATTCGATACTGGCTATCACTCGCCGTTGAATGCTCATTGTGTATTAAATGAAAAATATACATATATAAAAAAATATAAAAAATATAAAAATATAAAATAATTAACAATTTTGCGGTTATTAAAGTACAAAAAGTATTATTATAGTAAAAAAATAAATTTTCTCTGAATTTTTAAAAGTTTGTATTATCGATATAAATATAAAAATGTATTGTGCATATATTCTGATTTTAGTAAGCATGTTTCGTTCGTTTGTAACATACATGTTATACATATACATCACATAATCTGTATATTTAATGTATATCTCTGCACATGTGATTTATATGCGTAGATTTCTATTAAATTAATATTAATATATTAAATACTACTAACTAATATTATTTTTTATTAAATTTCACGTGTAAAAACTCTTTTTTTGTTTAAGTAATGCATTTTTGTCTCGGGCACCAAAATGTCTAGACCCATCTCTGACTCATTGTGTGTACTGACAATGAGAATTAAAGATCGCGTATGACATATGATAACGTCGACGATGACGCGTGACTTAATGTGCGAAGTGCGGTCGATTAGTCGTCGGTGGATCCCAGTCTTCATCCTATATAATATGCCTCGTAAAGAGCTTATTGTACGAGTATATTGTTAATCAAGAAATGAGAATTTTAGATTAACAATTCAACAGCTCAACGGTTTATGTGTTACGTAAACAATATTAAGTGAAAATCGATCGAGAAGTGTTTAAAACACGTATAAAAGAACTGAATAGTCATTTTTCAAAGCGAGGTTTGGTACTTATTGTTAGTAATATTTAATATTAATATTTAATATGTGAATATATGTATAATACAATTACCAATTCTATAGATTCTGTGCCGATTCGATTTGTCGGACTTGAACACAATCTTAAAATAATAATCTCACAATTAAATTAATTGATCGTCGATTTAATGAAAATGCCATTAGCACCTATAAATATATAAATATAAAAATCTATAAATATAGATATATAAATCTGTTAAATGTATTAGCGTTCTCGAATGAGCGAACTGATCTAGGTTGGCTTAATGATGTTACATGCTCTACCAACAATAAAACATGTAACGGTATTAATCTAACACAGAATTCTGTATTTACTTATTCGATTATTTATTCTTAGTGTTCTTACTGATTGCATCGATTAATTTCGGGATTGCGTGATACATTAAAGAGAAAAAAGAAGATACAAAATATTCCATTATTATTAAATGTTAAAGTGTAATTTGTTTTTTCCTTAAATTACTTCGATTAATATAAACTGAGACAGTTTGCAAAACAAATCATATACTTAATAATGGAGGAAAGATTTCTTTCTTTTCATCGTTGTTGCCTTTTTTATTCCTCTTTTTAAAAAGAATTATTCACGATTAACTGAAAAGTAAAATTAGAGTACCAAATTATATCTTTCTTTTATCGATAATCTAGTATTTAAATACTGAAGCAATGAGGTACTTGATGAAATTTAAAACGCTTGAAAATTTCAAATGAAATAAACAGATGTATAAACACAAGCATCTTGCATTGAACTTATATAACTCAATTTGACTTATCTGTTTTTATAATCATTTTTACAGATCGTCACTGCTCTTATTCAACATGTCTTATTCAACATTAATTTAACTATTGTAAAACAAAAGAGTTAAACAATTAATTAACTCAAGAAATGCATCAATTTGATTTAAACTTAGTTTATTATTTATCAAGTGGTATACGTTAATATAAATATTTTTTACTTTGAAACTAAGCAAAAATGAATGACTAATTTACATTTTGACATAAAAAGAAATTAAAAACAATAAAATATGTTATTTAGGAAGATGTTATTTAACAAGAGATTGGTTGTTCCTTTGATATTTAGCATTGCATAATCATTAGGACCGTTGATATTTCGAATTGGATTATAAGGTCTCTTTTTCTTCGCTTCTCTTTTTTTTTCTTTCTTTTTTATTTCCTCTTTTTCTAAAAAGTTAAATAATCATCTACTTATAGCTCACGCGTGTTCATAAATATTAAACACATATATATGCATAAGAATTTTACTTTGCTTCGTAAAATCGCATGATAAATTGTAGATCGTCGAAATTAATCATTCACTTTTATACTGCACGGTCCTGTCCGACCGTTTTGACGTCCGTCGTTTCCCCGTTACAGCAAGGTCGCGTGTAGATTTGGTGGTAACGAGTAAATACCGATAACCTAGCAATACACGCGAGAAACTTTCTCGTAGCTGCGAGCGTCGGAGGTAGAGAAGAACGAGAAGGAGAGGGGGAAGATTCGCAATGTGAGCGGGGATAGACGTAGACTATAGAGCAGCAGCACGGCAAAGCACGGGGAGGTTGAGCGCTACATCGAGTCGTGTCGGTTGTGTAGCAGTGTAGGGATGCGTGGGCTGCCCCGCCGAGGGGTAGAGACGTAGAGTGGAAGAGGAAGCGACGCGGGAAGGGTGACGGCAGGGTGGGGGAGAATGTGCTATCGGCCGCAATCAGCAGCTCGGCGGCTCTCAGTTTGTGTCGGATCTCCGTCGCAGTCGTTTCGTGACAACGAGTCTAGTCGTGCTGCGCTCCGTTTTTCTCATTCTCTCCTTCTCTCTCTTTCTCTCTCTCCACCTTTCTCTCTCCGTTTCTTCCCTGGTCCCTCCCTCCCTCCCCCTGCAGTTCGTTCGCAACTCGCTCATCCCTCTGACCCTCCCTCCCCCCTCCTCCCTCCCCCGTCAACGACACCGAGTTCCGCCCAGCGGGAAGCAGCCACGATTTTCTTCTTCGAACGAGGCGACGCGACGCGTCCTCGATTCTCGTCGTCCGCGCTTCGTTTTGTGGCGCGTGCATGTGTATGTGTGTGTGTGTATACATGTGAAGTATATTTCGGCGATAGAAAAGTACAATCGAAAATACAGAGGAAAATCTGGAAGGTGTGTGTCTCCTTTTTCTTGTATCGTCGTGACGTGCGCGCGTGTGTGTGCGAGACGAAATGTGCGTGACGTACTGCCGTTTCATCGCCGCGCGGTCGGAGTGTTGAGGAGGATCATGCGAAAACGCGCGAGGATTTACGAGGACGTAAGAGGGAAGGCGATTCCTCGATGTCTCGTCTTTGTCCGCGGCGACAAACGCGTTATCGATATATATATATATATATACACTCGCATATGTACGAGTTAATTACAGATGCGCGAATATTCCGCTTAACGGCACAGTTAGCGAGTATGACTAAATACCGAGGTGCACTAAATGCACGCGTCGAGTCCGGCTGGCCGTTGATGAATCTGCGATTCGTGCGAAAACAGACGTCTCGCGCGATAAGCGATGCTGAAGCTGTTTCGCGACGGCGCGTACTTAAGCCCGTGTCACATTACGCATTGAAGACTGAGGATTGCGAATTAGACCTGGTTTCACAATTCGCGATTAACTTCTTTAATCGAGGTCCAATCTTTTCATCTTTTTCTAATTCTAGAATCGATTAAAGAATAGACCGTGAATTGTGAATTGTAGACCGGGCCGGTATTCATAGTCCGTTCTTATTTCAAGATCGTCTCAAGTAATGTAAAGATGCTAATACGATCCTCTGATTGGTTCGTGACATTTTAAGAACTGTACTTAAGACGGCCTTGAATATATGAATCGACTATGAATATCGTCCTTAGAGATTAGAATTCAATTAGTCAGATAATTGTAGAAATAAAAGTTAAAAAAGAAAAGACCCTTCTACATAAAGTAATAATAGAATTGTAAAATGAGCATTAAAAGTCAAAACGCAGTTTTCGGTGTGCAAATATATAATAACAACGCTAATCGTTTATTCATTAAAATCTTTAAAATTCGAATGAGAATACCTTAAAAAATGAACATTTCAATTTTAATCCGTTTCACTCTGATTAGCTGAATTTTAATCTTCAATGTGCAACTTTTAATTTCCAGTGCCTAGTGTAACACGGGCTTTATTCTGTACGAAAGATTGATTAGCGACTCGCCGTGACTCTGCTTGTTCGACGAAAAACGCACGAAAATGCGGATTCTTATGTCGCGCGCGAGTGTACTGTTATAACGGGAAAAATTCCTGGTTGAAAATGAACGAACCAGAAAATTCTTACATCAATCAGAATTCTGATTATCACAACTAGAATTTAATAGAAAATTCTTATTTATCCATTTTTCAATCAGAATTCCAATTAATGCAATCAGACTTTTTTCTGAGTACAGATATTTGAGGAACAGTGTTACTTGAGTTAAATAACATTTTGTTTTTTTTTTATTTTTGTATATATCGAAACGTAAATCAATTTATTTTTGTGGCTATTTTCAAAGTAAACAATGTCCTGCACTTAGTAAATAATAAACTAAATTTCGATAAAATTTAATACATTTTCTCGAGTAAAATTTTATTTAATCCCATTGTTTTAATTAAATTAACAACATAATAATAAGTAGGTGCAATAAGTACGTTTATAGAAATAACTCAAATTGGATCTTAAAAATAACTCAAATGGAATATAATTATACATTGTGAATTTACAAGCGTGCAGTGCAAGCCATTTACACGCGTATTCACATTGTCGTTTTTTATCTTTCAGTACACGATGGATCATTTATGTTCTGCGCATCTCTTTTCTTTGAAATACTGGAAGCACTTGGCTGCTTAATGCACTGTTAAATTTATAATAATGTCAAATTATTCCCAGTTTGAGTTATTTTTAATCGTTCCTATATGTCGCCATCGTTCCGATTCAATAATATGTCGTCAATTTAATTAAAATAATGAAGTTAAACAATATAACTCAAGCAAATGTATTAAATTTTATTTTTTAATTTCTTTACGGTTATTTACTAAGTGCATACGTTAATACAAACATTGCTTTGAAACTAAACACAGAATGAATTGATTTATATTTTGACATATATATAGAAGTCAAAAGTAACGAAATGTTATTTGACTTAAGACATTTGTTAGCATTGTTCCTTTGGTACCTAATTTGTATCCTTTCCTTTTTTTTTAATACACACCTTTACAAATACTTTCTAAAGATATTAAAGTATCCTGTACAATTCATGATGTCAAGTTATATCTAAATTGAATTGTTTTTAATCATTTTTATAAATTGCCATAACTCTTACTCATATTATCATCAATTTAACTGAAGTAATGAAGTTAAATAATTCAACTAAAGAAAAAATGTATTAAATTTGACTTAAATTTAATTTATCACTGAGTGCATACTTGAATGGACATTATTTACTTTAGAATTAACCACAGAAATGAATTGATTTACATTTTGTCACACATGGAAGTTAAAAATAACAAAATGTTATTTAACTCAAGGAATTGGATTGCCATTTTGCTCCTTTGACATTTAATGTGTAATTTCTTTTTTTTATCTAATTTTATTAATACTTTCTAAAGATGTTAAAATATATGTAAGACTTACTTGATTTTTATATTCTTGTAAAAGTGTGAAAATTAAGACACGAACCATGTGTTAAGTAAAGGATTAAAAAATCATCATTAAGGGCTATTCTTTATTCTTTGTGTGAGTCGTCCATCGGTCGAGGCTTTACGCGACGGGAAATGTCACGGATGTTATCTTGATGAATCATCGGCTGAGGATTTTGTCGATCATTATCGAGAGTTTAACACGCTCATCAACGGGAATTATTTGAGTTAACTGATGTGATACGACCGTATTAAGGACTACTCGTGCATTTTCAAAGAACCCACATCCACCTAAGTAAAGCGTTCCATCGCGTCTGAATCATCGATAATTCCCGATAAGGTCATTCGCGTTGCTCCAGTACGGAAAGTTTGATTTAATCGCAAATGTATCGCATTCCATTCTCAAGATACACTCATTGGCACTTCTCGAATAAACGTTATTAAACTGATTCCCTATAAAGTGCAATCGTATACTCGCGAAAATGATCGAGGAAGGAATCGAGACGATGAGCAATAAAGATCGTAATTTTGGAGGTTCGACGACAGATTGATTTGCAGAATCGTGGTTTTTTTCCCGATGACGAATGGATCAAGAGCGTGCGCGAAGTTCAAGCGACGCACACTTGTTTTACGTAATGAAAACGCGTTCGCGTCGCAGGGAGAGAGCGAGTGGAGGATCGTCCGCTACTCCGCTCGCTCGCTCGCTCGCTCGCGCGTGCGCCGCGTGTAATCTATCCGTCGTCGAGCCCCGCGTCGCTCCGCGACCCGCGTTGAGCGTTTCGGCCGGCGAGGCGCGGTGGGGAGAAGGGGGGGGGGATCGGTCGGCGCGAAAGGTGGAGGGGAGCTCTTCGATCATCGGCATTACTGGCCTCCCTCGTGCGTCCTCGTGCCTCGTCGGAACGGTGCGGCGGCGATCGGCTAGTTCCGTGCGCGGTCGCCACTCTTGTACAGTCTCGCACCAGCTCGCGCGCGTTACGGGTCTGTGTTGCGCTCCGACCGCTTCGGCCTCCTCTCCACGATTCGATCATTTGACGGAATTCGGCAGTGGTAGCGCGAAACAGACGGTAGACTATCAGTGTCTACCTGTTCGATCTGACCATCTATCTAAACACTTGTATAACGTGTCACTCTTTGTGTTTTTCCAGCAGCGTGTGAGGAGTTTAAACGTCACATCGTCGTTGAACGGCTGTCTGTTGTTATTCTCGTTCCCCGGTCGCATTATTTATCGAGTTGTCGAGGTATCTCTCTCATCAGTCTCGTCGAGGTAGTGCGCGGCGCTTCTTGGATACGCGGTCACGTATGCACGCATGGACAAGCAACGGCGACGCGGCACTGCCCAATGATGGCCGTGCCGGGCATTACCGTTGACGTAGTGATGTATTATTAGTGGTGCGCGTCGCGGGAAAGTGCTGTGTGCCGCTCGCTGTCTCTCTCTTTCTTTCTTTCTCTGTCTCTCTCTCTCTCTGCTTCGCCGCTCACTTCAGTCCGTATCTCGGCGTGGCGTTACTCGATAATAACGCGGAGTGTGCTCCTCGTCGTCGCGGAAATCAGTGATCGCGGCAAAGGGAAGGCAGGCAAACGCGGTTTACAAAATACGCGTATTTTCGCTCCTCCCTCTCGCCTTCCCGCCCACGAGTTTCACGCAGTGAGAGTTTCATATCAGTGCACGACGATAACGACGACGACAGTTTCGTTCGCTCTCTGTGTCTCTGTGTGGATTATCATATTTGGATATACTCGTATTATCGTATTTGGATACTGCGATCAGCGATCCCCGTCGCGGCTCACGTCCAGCCAGCCAACCCATCGCCAGACTACGGCCCGAGATCGCGATTCCGGTGAGTGTGCTTGACTTATCCATCATATTGCATTATCGTTCGCTCCGTTCGTATCGGCGTTCACCCGCGGCGATCGATGCGCGATCCTGAAACGCGTGACGGGCAAGTCGCGCGCCGTCGCGCTTATCGCTCTCGATCGGCTGCCATCTTGTTATTTGTACCCGTCGCGTCGCGTACGCGAGCGTGTCCGCGCCGTGGAATCGGCAGAATCGCGCAGTCAGGATCGGTTATTAAAAGTTTATCGGAGATCGCGCGGACGAGGCGCGGAAACTCCGGGCGGAGACGTCCGCTCCGAAAATCATCATCGCCGCGATCGGGTCTACTCCGAGCGGCGTCATCTTTCCTCGATTGTTTTCCTCGATTGTTTCCGCGACCCGATATCATCACGCATAGAGATCCTATAAATCCTTGTGTTCACCATGTTAGAAATCGACTCGAGATCTCGGTTAGAGAAAGAATTAACAAATTGCATTTGAATGTGATCGGTTAATACTTTTTTCATCCGAGATCTAGTATTCGATTTCTAGTATCGTGGATATAAGGTTTAACAGAATTCGGCCATGAACGATGAAGATTTTGTCAAAATCCTACACTTAAATATATAATGTGAAATTATACCCAATTTTAATTGTTTTTAATCATTTCTGTAGATTATCACTGTTTCTAATCAATGTGTCGTTAATTTAACTGAAATAATGGAGTTAAACAATTTAACTCAAGAAAATGTATTAAATTTGACTCAAATGAAGTTTATTACTAAGTGTATACATTAATATGAATGTTGTTTATTTTAGAACTAACAGAAATTGATTGGTTTACATTTTGACATATATGGGAGTTAAAAATAATAAAATGTTTTTTTAATTCAAGGGATTGGGTTTCTATTGCTTTTGTGATATCTTAATAGTACGCAGGAAAAATGTATACATATCTTTCTCTCTTGGAGAGGATTTTGACAACATCGTTCGTAGCCAGACTCTGATATAGAGTACGTTCCATTTAGTGTTTGCTAACGACACTTGTGAATATTATTTAACTTTCTTTGTTTAACTTTTTCCACTTAATAAATAACAGGGATAAATTATTCCAATGCATTCCGAAGGTCAAGTGAAACGCAGCTGTAGGTTCGATTTTTTATTTTCTGGTTAATTAGACTTAAGTTAATAACATAAAAATTGTATTTTTCACCACTAAACTGATAACTTTATAGTGAGCGCGACTTTTAAAGTTACCGCTACAAAAGTTCAATCATCAGTTTAATCATAAAAAACCACTAAAAAAACAATTCTTACATTATCGAGTTAAGTGAAGTTAAATTTAAACCGCAGGTTTAAACCAGAAAATAAAAAGAAAATGAAAAATCAGGCCATAGGATTTCTAGTCACGTAGGGGAAATGGCAGATCGATTAGAAATCAAGCTGATAAAACGTCTCGGAGTCGGACACGACACGATTGACCGTTTTCTATCGACTCGGCGGAGTGGATGTGACGTCTCGTTTACTTACGGCAATTCCAGATTCCAGAACGGGCCGAGGCGCTTTTTTAATCTTCGCGAACGAGATGGAAAACTTGGCGACGCGACGCGGCCGGGTAAATACTTAGGTACTTGATCGTGAAAGTGCCCTGCGTTGGAATACGAGCGGAGCATCGCGTCGCTCTTTTAGCGGAATTGCATCTCGTTAACGCGAACGGCATCGCGATAAAGTTGCGCACGATGACGATTCCGCTATTTCGTCATCGTTCTGCTGATAATTTTACCTGAAGAACGTCGGCATTCAATGTAAATACTACCGTTTAATAACGAGACTGGGAATTCGCAACGCAACGAATTCGAACGTTGTAATCGTGATTTCCGTCTTATCTGTGCGCGGTGAGTTGTTTGACGATGAAACTCGAATCTCACTCTCGATCGCAGCAACTTTCATCGCACGACGACGACGACGACGACGACGACGCTGTTTCAAGATCGCGCGAATGAATTATTTTTTAAAGAAAAAATTCGTTGAACTCTCTCTCTCGGAGTAGAGATTCGTGAGCAATAAAACTGTCGGCAATCGAGCGATAAGCGAGATTGTGAAAACAGTTGGCGGTGATCACGGTCACGAAAAATATTTGCGCTTGTCGAATTAAGTTTTATTTGAAAGCGGCTGATAGGGAAAAGTTAACGACTGTACGCGGAATTTATTTCTATACTTTGATTTCGGCGAACTTGCGTAGTTTCTACGTAGGAGTTTGGCTTACGCGCAGCTGCTGATCGAAGAGTGACGTCACAAAACGATTCCCTTAACCATCTGACGTTAGAATCTGTCACACGTTTACTGACTAATGGATATGTGAGATCCATTTAATTTACATTGACTAAAAGGCATTAATTATTTTTAATCATCCAAAGTATCATAGGTACATAATTTGTTATATATTAAATAAAAAAGAACGAATACTGATAATAATTGTGATAGTATTTGTATTGACTAAAAGGCACTAATTAATTTCAATCATTCAAAATAACATACATAACTGTTATGTATATTAAATAAAAGAGAATGAATATTGATAATAATAGTAAATTTGATCACTCATGTTACACTGGATTAATACTCATTAAGGACTATATAAAGTATCTAACTGCAGTGGCATAATCAACTTTGACAGTGAAATAATGTAATATTCTGTTACATAACGTGACAATATCATTATTGAGTATTTAGTTGTTTAAAATATTTATATGCTTTTACATTTAACCTTGCTAATGTATATCAGCTTTTAGTATGCACTAATTTAATGTAATGCAAGTGATAGAATTCGCTACAAGTTTATTCAAATAAGCGAGGAAAGTCATATTCGATCAAAGTAAATTTTAATGTCTTTTAATAACAATAATTTAAAGGAGATTATTATAATTTTTTTCAAGACCGTTTTCGAGGATCGTTTTATTTTTCCATTTTTTAAATGTATTTTCCTTCGTGGAAACTGAAAATTAGGACGCTGCACTCAAAGAGAAATTGGTACATTGTGAAATAAAGTTAATAAAAATCCTTATTTGTGTTATTTTTTATGAAATCGCTGTCAGTTCCAAGATCCAACTCTGTTGATTCAATTCTGAATTAGGTTTTAAATGATCAAAGAATAGCTGACACTGATTTAATGCAATGATATAAATAAGGATTTATTAACTTGATTTCGCTCAATTTTTTCTTGATAACGTTGATTATTATGACAATTTTCAATTTCCGTGAAGAAAAATACATTGAAATAAAACGATCTTCAAACGGTCCCTTGCAAAAAAGTGAAAGTTGTATTTCATTGTTTTCCTTTGCAGATGTAAAGAATATAATTGAGTCCTTTAAACCTACCGTCAGCTCCGGAAGGTTAACCATTCGTAATTTCACAGCTGAATGCGACATACCTAATGCTTTGCGATAATCTTTTACAGTTTCTTTTTTAATTCTTCAAGTATTCGAATTGATATACGTTTATAATCAGCAAACTGTATTTTTGCACCTGTGTGTTTTTAATGCATGAAATGGGGAAACGCCAGAGATCCATTTTGTATGCGATCGTAGTTTCCGAACATTATTATCTTATTATCGTGTAAACCAACTTTTAGACAACTATCATGAGAGTTAATACAAACTACAGGAAGTGTGATATAGCTTTTTAACTTTCAGACACATAATTAAAATGTAAGTGCATATCGTTTTTTCAGTTCATAGAAAAAAAAAAATTATAAATACGTTTTTTATTACGCGAGAATTCGTAACATATTTGTATGCGGTACCTAAAATTGAAAAGGTTTATCGAATACAGCTTTATATACTCTCTTATAAAATTGAATTAAACAATAAATGCAGGAAACAAATGAAACTTTTTATTCTTTCTGAGAATTGAGGAAGAAATTGATAGAAACATAAATATATGTGACATCGCTCGGAATGAAGATATTTTATAATCGTACGTTTCGAATGTGATTCGTGACTCTGATTTCAATTCCCCTGAATTATTCAAGAATTCACTGTAAAAACCGGCAAATTGGCGACGGACGCAATCTTGGCGAAGTCGAGAGCGGCGTATTTCACCGCGCGGGAAAAACGGAGTAATCCGTGGAATCATATTCTACAAAAGCGCGCGTGCGTGTGTGTTCGGGGAAATGGAAATATTTCAGACGCGTCCGAGGAGAAAGCGATTCGAAGCCGAGACTTGGATGTCGTTCGGTCACGGTATAGTTCGCGTTCTCTTCGCTGCGAACGATATTATTTCTGGCACGACACACCAGCCGGCGGCGCCGATCGATCTCGTCCTCGAACGGGCGATCGCGAACGTCCATGTTACATATACACACACACACACACACACACACACATATATATATACACATATACGTATATACGCTCCGTGTCTGTGCGTGTATGCGTCGCGATCGATCGCGAGCGAGTCCTTTCGGCGTGAAGGGAGGAGGTAAGCGCGAAACACGTTTACCGAGACCCCGGAAATAATTACCGCTAAGCAGACCCGAGTTGTCGGCAAATTGAATTGGCTTCGAGTGCCGGCACACACAGTTCTCTCTCTCTCTCTCTCTCCCTCCCTCCTCTCTCTTGGCAACCATCATCGTCGGCTGGTCTCAAATACATCCGAGAGACGATCTCTCTGTAAATTCTCTGTCCGCGGCTCGCCAATGTTTGCAAACAAACTCGCGTGTCAGCGTCACATTGCTCTCCGCGATTTTATATTCCGACCCGCTTTCTCAGCATCGTCGGCTTATCCTCGCGTTGCTTCATTTATACGCACGTTCCCTCGAATCGCAAAAAAAAAGGTAACATGTGTAGTCGCTCGCGAGTATCGACAGCGAGATTGGACTTCGATATATATGATGTAGTTTTCATAAAAGAAAAATTGCACGAAATTTTTTATTCTGCCATACGGTTGAAGATTCATACGATGTTTTTTTTATTATACATACATTAATGGCTGTTTCCAGCAGTAAAATTAACTTTAGTCCCAGT